CTAGGTTGTCGTCGCTGTTTCGGGGAGGGTCTCGTTCTACCGAAGTAATTAAAAGAATAATTCTGTTTTTACCACACACAAAAATTAGTTTTTTTTCAATGCGTTGTCCATAAATTATGTTGCCTCAGAACCATCCCCTCCCCCACAGTTTTAATTACGTCACCCCCCCCCCCACCCCCCACCATCACCACAACGGAAGAAACGCTAGTTTGTGAGGGGGAAAAATATGTGTAGATAGTACGTCCAAAACGAATCAGCGAAATTCGAAATTCGTGAAAACCGATGGAATTCTATTTGAAACTAGATCATCGTGTTTACTAAGTTTTTAAAACACCTGAACATCTTGGAAGCAAAAGACATTACGCCGTTAGCCTGGGGAAAAAAACATTGTTGACGCCTTACGGGACAGGGGCATTTATTTGATATTGTTTGTGAAGTGAACTCGCTTTAAATGGCATGGTCGGATGGTAGAGCTTACGAAAGTTTCGAGTTCGAATCCCGCGTTCGTGTCAGTAAAACTTCCCTGAGTCCACCCAGCTCTTAAGGGTACCTGACTCAGTGAGAGTAAAGGCGGCTAAAACAGGTGAACTCTACTTCACCTGCCTCACGGACCGTCAGGTTCGAAAGGGTACCTTTCAAAACGCTATACGGATATAGAGTTGTGGTATCGTTTCTTTTATAAAATTTCAGTGTGTCTCTTGTACTTGTACAGAACTTTATTTTTAAAGTTATATTGTAGCAGTTGATGATAGACCGTATCTCGCATCACTGATGCTAATAGTGATTGCAGCATTAGCGTGTGCGTTATGTAAAAAGAAAAATAACAAAAATGAGCAAAGCGCTATTTTCAACCTTACAAATGGGATTAATGGTCAACCTCGGTGGGGAAAAAAAACATTTAAAAAAAAATTCATAAAAAACGTTTTAATAACAAGCTTTTATGTAATGATGCACTAAAAAGTAGAAAATAAATTATAGACTACTATTTAAATAACTATAAAGAAAAGCGTGGGTGTCTTCCTTAACATTAGTAAATGTATCCAATAGATACTAAAGTGACCCACGCTTTTCTTTATAGTTATTTAAATAGTAGTCTATAATTTATTTTCTACTTTTTAGTGCATCATTACATAAAAGCTTGTTATTAAAACGTTTTTTATGAATTTTTTTTTATGAATTTTTTTTCAGTACTTTACAATATTTACATGTTTTATCTACAATAGAGTTACATGACTAAAAACCGGTGCGCGCCTACTGAATATCACGTTCAGTAGGCGCGCAATGGTTTTTGAACGCAGCCATTACGTGGTCGTGATGGCGCAGCTATTGATGACGCGTGTGGTGTGGTTGGCTAGACATGCCTACTAATTCGGTCCAAATTTTAATTAATTCATAAAAAATTAATTAGGCATCCAATTAAGTCAAATTTATTTTCAGATTGCATTGTCTTCATGTCTTGACCCACGTGCTAACTTTGAATCGTATCGGTCAAGTAGAACTGTCCGAATTTTCACTCCTGCGTTTCCGTCTAGACAGACAGACAGACTGACGAGGAAGTGAGTTAAATAAAAGCTTGTAAAAAGCAGGAAAAATGTGAGTCTAAATTTCTTTTCGTTCATTCAACGGAAATGCTGCGCAGGGCCGGCGCTATCTATTAGGCGAACTAGGCGGTGCCTAGGGCGCCATCCCTAGGGGGCGCAAAAGGTTTAATCGCTATTATCAAATGGTACCTAATAATTAATAGCTTTTATAAAGGAGTAGCGATCTATTTCGGCTCCCAGGACGAACTATCAATTTTGCGCCCCCACCCCAAAATTAAGTCTATATAGGCCTTTATTTATCCGCGATGGTGAAAATGCAACCCCACCTCCCTAATTTGGAAAGGTCGGGGCGCTTTTTACCAGTCACTTTGCCTTTTTAGTTAGGTGTCACATAATTGATGTTGAAAACGATTAAATAAGTTCGTAATTTAAATTTCGAACATTTTAATAGGGCTTGTAAGTCTCGTTTTCTCTGACTTTGAATAAGAAATCTGTCCTGGTGTATAGAGTTTTGTAATGACGGGGTGTTCAACTCAAAGTATTGTAGCCTACTTGTTTGGTAAGTTTTGATGACTCGTTTAGATTTGGGAGTAAAGGCGGAAGGCTGTTGCTGATAGGAATCGTAAAGTATCTAGGCCTAAGTGTTAAAGTGTCGTATTTTTTATTTAGCTGTTGTGTAGTTGAAGGTCTGGTGGAATATGATTGGTAGTAGAGAAATGAGAATGCATGTGATGAAGTATCGTAGTTCTGGAGTTCGGGAGTATTGATTCTTGAGGTATTAAGGTATCGAATTATATTGACTGTTAAAGTGTAGTAGTAGGTCCAGTGAAATCGTTTATGATTGGGAGTACCGTTTGTAGAGCTTGGTGAAGTTAAACGAGTTGGTATCGTAGTTCTGGAGCGTCGAGTCTAGTTATGTTTAGGTATCGAAATTTGATATGTGTCGTGAATGTAGTAGAGTATATCAAGTAGGCGAGTTTATTGTAAGTTAGACGATTTCAATTCAGTACGGAACACACTACAAAGAAAGGTAGGCCTAATCGTTCTCTGGTTGAAAAATCGTTAGTTTTTCAGTTAACTATATTACCACTCTTAAGGTATTAATATATATTAATAGGATGGAATTTATAACTAACCGTAAACTTTGTTTTTCCAAATTAAATTTTTTTTTTATATTTAATCAAAATTTCTAACACTGTCTAAAACAGTTAACCTGTTTGATTTTTGAAAGACGTCCCTTGATTAAAGTAGGGATCCAAAATTTGGTAATATGAACGATGTCGACCTTATCATAATAAGTGAAATTTATGTCATCAAAATTGAATAGAAGTATGCTATAATACAGCTACCATTTTTAGACTTTCAAACAAAACCTGCAGTTAAGTACTCAATAGGTAAAATATATTGTTTTCACAAGTTTACATAGATAGTATGAAACATTTGTTGTAATTATTACGTAATGAAATTTAGAGCGTTTTATTGTGTTTTTTAAGCATATCTTAGTTTCACTTGGTTAATTTAGCAATTCTTGTGAAAGTTATTTCCCTTGAATAAAATTTTGTAATTTGGATATTCAAATGGGAGATAATTCTTTGCTTAACTTTACATTCATTTCCAATTACTGACCTTAGGTTGACCGCTTACATATAAATACAATTTCAAGTTATTATTTGCTACTGTAAAAATTATACAGAGCTTAAGTTTTAAACAAAATAGTTTGGTAGTTTTTTTAGCATTATCAAGTTGAAAAACATCAGTAGCCGTTGTAGATTGCAATACTTAATGTTAGTAGACATACAGTCTTAGTCGTAAATTAAACATCTAATTAATTGTCTTTTCATATTTTTCACCCTCTCCTACAGGATTCATATATATCAATTTTATGCTGGAATCTATAACATTTATAACCTTTTATATTTCAAAACAAAAAAAAATCGTTACATAATCACACAATATAGACATTTTACAATTATAACTAAAGACAGTCAAGCTTAAAACAGGTAAGTTCCGTTTTGGTAGTCACCTTGGGAGCACTGCGGTGAGTCCAACACTACAAGAACTTTTCTTTTCAGTGGTTTTTTCCAGACTGTTTTCCCCCAGGGAGGGGGGGGGGGGCGACATACAATTTTCTAAGGGGTGGGGGGGGGAGAGCTTTCTCGTAAAATACAAAGTAGACTCGTGGTCTTAGCAACAATTTCAATAAAATGTGATTACGCTTGCAAACTGGAATTGAAGGAATTACTAAAAACTTTTGAGACGAATGAGGCAAGTAAAATTTGATTTTGATTTATAACGTGTATGCAATTGATAATAATTAATACGTCATTTTTAATGAATTGTTTTCTTATAGGATATGTTTTAGTTATTAATTTGTGTGAAAGGGGGCGTTTTAATAAAGTTTTGCCTAGGGCGCTAAATAAACTGGCGGCGGCATAAGCCAAAAAAAAAAAGATCCGAGGTAAATGCGAGGGAACCGAGGAAATCTGAGGCAATAATATGCCCAGAAAAAGAAAGGAATTCACGATAATTAAACGCAATAACAGTTTGTCACATTTTAAATTCACATACCCTACTGTAGGGGATCATCACAGAGGTCTGCCCCCCCCCCCCCTCCCATCCCTTAGTGAGTGTGAGACGGCATAGAGGCAATATGCTGGCTATAATACTTTTAGTAGTTTTAAGTTATATTTTTTTCAAATGATTCATTTTTTCCCCTCACAGCCTATTGTGACATTATTATTCTTTGGTTTTTACTTGTGACTCCTGCTAATTTCACTAACACTAACTTAACACCGTGAAAAAAAATATTATCTAAGCGCATTATCCACTGTTTAAGATTTCTGATAAGCTGCCAACAATGGGACGCAGCCTAACCACGAGATGGGCGTAACGGTTCAAATGTTTATTCAAGTTTCCTATTGCGTTATCGCCTTTTCTTTTTGAATTTTTACTAGATCTAGTAGCGAGCGCATCCAGCGATGGAGAGGTTTGTGAGTTTTTGGTAACCGAGACGGGTGGACAGATTATACCGGTAATCGAAATCACGTAGTTTAGTTGTCCTTAGGAATAACCCGTTCGGGCTTGGAATTTTTTCCTTCCAGTGCGGCGCCAACTAAAGGGACATAACTTTTTTTTTTACATTTGATTAGAAAGGGATATAACTCTTTTTTTTTTCTTCATGTGTGCTTGGATTGATTAAAGTTACTTAATTTAAAACTCCAAATAAATTTTTTAAAAATTAACAAAATGTAATTCACATAGGAATATGTATACAGTTTAATGTGCATTCAGTGAAATAAACATTTTATGGAAAAAAAAAAACATCAAATTTCATAGTCAACAAAAAAATCTTGCATTCTATTAAAGCAAAATATTGAAAAGTTTAAACCTTACAGAGTTTTTGATGATAATTTGAAAAGCAGATTCCTTTACACAAATGAACAGAACAGAATTTGCAGCCATACGTAGTTTCTGGGGTTCTGCCCCCTGGTGTTTTGACACTGTTGGAGGCGCATTCCCTACAACCTTTCTTACGACCAAGTAGCCTAACCAACTCATGGTTCTGACTCAGTGGTTCAACATCACCAGCAACTGTTAAACAAATTAACATCATTTAACAGAAAATACATTTACAAATGAACAAAAGGTTTTAAAAAATGATTGCTAACAATAAAAACAAGCTATGTAGTCAGGGGAGCTAGGGTTGGGTGATCTCCCTAGAATCAATAAAATATGCAGTATTTGTCAAATAAACAGGGAGTGATCTCCCCTAAACTTTCTCGAAAATTCTTATATAAAACAACAGGGGATGGGAACTCGGGATATAATTATAATTTTTAATCCATTTTAATTACTTAAACTTTTTTAAATAGAATAGAATCTCATAGAAAAAAGAATTGCGCACCAAGCGAATGCCGAATAAAGATGTGTATAATAGTGCGGAATATTATTAGTACTTTATAAATTCACATGCGTTTTTTTAGAAATCGGAAAGAGTGAAAATTACTACTTCCGCTCAACGGAAATTTGACAGAAGGCAGAAAATTAGATCTTTTACTTACAAAATACATGTGAAATTTCATTTATTATCTATCTGAAATAGTACTCAAGTTATAGGCTTTTGAAAAATTCAAAGTAGAAAAAGTTCCACTTCCGGTTATCGGAAATCGCTCAAAAGTTGATACAGATCTACGATTTTGATATAATACTTATAAATGAAATTTCATCAACCTAGCTGTAACGGTACTCAAATTATCGTGTTTACACACACACACATACACACACAGACAAGATTGCAAAATTATGTTTTTCCGACTCAGGGAGGTGTAAAACGTCGAGATTTGCAAAAATCTCGATTTTTTTTTTTTTTTTTTTTTTGCATGATTACAATACTTTCTCTATACTTTGTATATACGAGAAAGTAAAAAAGGAAATGGTGTCCCCTAACTAATCACAGATTTTGCATTCCAAACAGATCTGTGAATTTCTGCCAAGTATGGACACTATTTATTTTAGCAGTTATACATTAAGCCTCTAAAATCTCCCCACACTCGTATGCTCTCTGCTTATTTACTTAATAAATAACTATCCATTATGTAGATGTACCTTTAAAATACTTCTACTTAAATGCCAGAAAATGTTGAGAATTCTTAAACTTATATACATCAGTTTTTAAAAACTTAATGAATTTGATTTTAATTGCAAATACTAAAATCATCATTTTAAATATACATTACTGTATGTACTACACATATGCAAAAATACTTGAGAGAAAAGTTAAACTCCTCAAAACAGGAAAAATACCAGATACATTTTTTTAAGTCAATGAAAATCAAAACTGCTTAAATGCATAAATATAGGTCACTATATTTTTCTGTATGCCTATTTATCTAGGTTGTGAAAATTTAAAAATATACCAAATGAATTTAGTTTTAATGTTAAAATTTAAATGATTTCTTGTTTGAAAAAATTTAAAAGTAGGTACATCTGAACAGATATCTTGCAATTTACATTTAGACTTGTATAATAACTTGTATAAGCAAAAATATAAATATTTTAATTTACATAATTTAACTTCATAATAAAATTAGAGTAGTTAATACAAATTTAATAAAAAATCTTATTAACATAGCAAACTGCTTTGAAATAACCTTTTAAATGCGTCTAAACCATTATACAAAAAGTTTTAACACGTATGCACTTAACTTCTTCAACAGGGTCAGGTCACGCTTTATCCAGCAAAGAGCGCCTTAGACACACAGGCCATCTCTTGCAATAGTCACAAAATGTAAGAATAATGTGCATCAGAGACCCAGGTAAAGCTACTGTTTCATTTGAAATCACAGCAACGTTCAAATAAAAATAAAATATTTGACTCAATACAATTATATTAAATATTTATCATCAAATAATAACATCATTGCAGTAAAGGAGACTCAAATTACAGATCTAGTTCATTTACTTTCTGATAGCTCAACTATTATGGGCCAAAGGACTGGTTGGCTGTATCAGGTTTCAGAGATAACTTTTTTAAGTAAACATTTATTCCAGTCATACCTTAGTGAAAAGTTCTTAAATCTAATGATTTTTTCAAAGAAAGAACTCAACTGCTAAAGTTGCTTTACTACAAAACACCATCCTATGGTGATAAAACTAAATTCATTTTTCTGCTAGAGCAACAGTCATATAGTAAAATGGTATAAGTAAAACAAAGATATATAGACATCCGAAATAATGAATACAAATTTAATGATGTGTGTTGTAGAATCATAAAGCTATTATACAGTTAATAAATAACTAAATATTTAGAATTATTTGAAAGGTAGATAAGTGTTAAAAGTTTGACATACAATGTCTTTGATATCATCAGTATAAAGTATATTATAAATCCGTATGAGGGTTTACAGTACTCAGAGTTTGTAAAAATTACAAAACAAACTCAAAATTAAATTACAGACCCGATTTACCACAACTGTTTACTGATCCCCAATGATCAATCACAAAAAAGCACACAATGAATAAAAATCTAAGATCCATTTCCATCAAAAAATGTATATAGTAATTTTCAACAGTAAAATTGTTAAAAAACACAAATAATACATACTCTAATCAACAGAAATGTATTAATACATGCTTAAATTAACACAAAGACAGTTGTTATTTATTAAATTAGAAACAACAAAATTCAAATAAACAATTTTCTGATTAATGAAATGTATGATTGAAAAAAAATTACTTTAAAAAAGATATAGAATATTGTGTACACCAATAGCAGATGTTTTTCCTCCATTTATTTTGCACACACAATTTTTTAAAGGAAAATAAAAGTATGCATAAATGGATAACCGTGGAATGTAATTTTTTTTAAATCACAGATTTTTTTTTAAAAACTAAATAAATCCAAATAAAAATAATGCCATGAAAAATTGTGTAATTAAATTACAGACTGAATACACTATCAAAGTTCACCTCTGCTTTCAATTTTTGGGCTTTCAAAAGCATCACTACTTGAACTACTCAGAGCTTTTTCTGAATCACTAATTTCCTTGTGCAATGTCCAAATACAGGTCTGGCCTACACCGGTCATGGCAACTAGTTTGTATCCTCTCTTCTCAAGCTTTTCTAGGACTACTCTTGGTGCAGCCTCTGTTCTATACTGAGCGCTGCTGGTGATAAAAATTATTTTTTAAAATAACTAGATTCTAAATTATTTTTTAATCTTATGTCTAAAGTCTATATAATATCAAATTATCTTATTTGTAAAAAAAAAAAAATTTTAAACTACAGAACATTTTAAAATATTCAATCAAATTAATGGATATTAGATCTAGTAATGTCAACAAAACTAATTAATTCTAAACATTATTTAAAACTTGTGTAATAAAGTAGGAGAAATAATTACTAATTATTTCCTAGTTGTTTAATGAGTGTAGCATCTAAATATTCCATCAATTCCCTGTCACTCCATTCATCACCAACAACTGTAGGTCCGACATCCTGAAAATATCCCAGAGTAAATTAATATCAATTAAAAAAATGTATCTATTAGAGCAGGGGTCTCCAAACTTTTCAGTCCGAGGGCCGCATTAACTATCAAATTTCAGTTCGAGGGCCAGTTTCTTCCAGGTATGTCTTTGATTTTTCTGGGCAAAGTTCCTCAGCCATCACCAACAAACGATTTTTCCGTGGACAAAAAAATCTCCGCGGGCCGGATGAGGGGACTTCGAGGGCCGCATCCGGCCCGCGGGCCGTAGTTTGGAGACCCCTGTATTAGAGCAAACACCTAATCTAGGCTCTAGGGTCTTGTCCTGATAAGCCCTTCCAATAATGTGGAATATTTAAACGCATGCCATAAAAACAACTCCTTATCCATCTCTAGAGTTGAAGGTACCAAATATACAGGCCTTTTCATTCAAATTAATGACTCGTCCCAGTTTCACCCTTTTTAATAAAATCTCTTGAAGTACATGTTTTACATCCTCTTTTTTATAATCCTGTTTGGGTGGCAGGGGTTAACTTTTCGGTGGGCTTATCTGGACAAGATCCTAAATCTTTATAAATGGAATCTAGCTAGTCATTTAGGTAGCCTAAATCAATTTTAATTTTAAGCATTTCTATTTATTTAGCCCCCCCCCCCCCCCCTCCAATAATCACATTTTTTTTAGTAAGGCCTAATAATGATTAATTAGGCATCTATTTCTGATAATTGGACCAAATGTTTTTTGTTAATTATTAAAAAGTCTATCTAGATCTAGTCTACATTACTCTACAACTCTACATTATACATACAGTCTACCAACAGCAAAAACAAGTGGTGTTTTTGTGTTTTACTCTAACACTTTTACTAACACCGTGATTTTGATTAGGGCCAACACTACAGAGTACAGAGTCTGTACAGACTATAGTGTTATAATAATAGTATAATAGATCTAGATTTCTAGGGTTAGGGTTTTAATTTTTAAATGTGTCAGGTAGGCCTACTACTAGTACTACTAATTAAATTCCAGGTGGACTCAGAGAGGTTTAATTAATTATTTTAATTTTCTATAGCCTACAACTACAATACAAACAGAAGTTATAATCTCTAGAGATCTAGATTAAATCTAGATCTAGATCCTCTAGATCTAGAATAATCTAGATTATTAAGATTAGATTTCTTCAGTCTACAGTCTACACTTAGATCTAGATCTAGTACACAACACTCTCTACAGTTGTAATTTCCATTCGTCAGTTTCAGTACTCAATCTGGTAATCTATCGTTTTGGGTACGTAAAATCGCCCGCGATTTGTAATGTGAAAAACAGGTGACTCCTTAAATTTTAATAATTAATTCACATTTTGGGGAGGATTTATGTTTTAAAAAATTCAAAAATGTTTCCTTGATTCATTTATGTACCTGTTTTTAAACAATTGAATTAAAACTTTCCCGTAATAAATGAGGACTAGCGATGTTTCCAACAGATGCAACCATGCTCATTTACTATAGCAGCCATCTTGTCTAAGTTTAATTTTTATATGATTTTAGCGCCAGATTCAGGGGGAAGCCACTCTATTTTACAAATGGCTGCTGTTTACATAGCAAATCTTGCTCTCAGACACAGCTGTTTAAAGTTAATTTCTGGCCTATATCGATATATTTAGCCATTGATTTAGGTTTATTAATCATTTATCTATAATATTTGACACAAAAGTATGACAATATATAATTCAATATACTTCTATTAAAGCCTTGACAATGAGGTAACGTTTTCGTACATAAATAGCCGCGGGCGATTTTACGTACCCAAAACTATAGATTACCCTCAATCTTAATCTAGCTTAGGAAAGTGAGTGGCTGATAACTTTTATAAAAATATGGGGTATTTTAAATTTCATATAAACGAACCAGTCGGATTTGAGTACTGATTATAACATATGGCATTTTAATATAATTCTTCAGATCTAGATCTAGATTCTAGATCGAGGGAGTCTACTAGAAGTCTAGAAAAACTCTGGGCGACGGGTCACTGGAGATTCTGTCTGCCTCAGCCTGTTTGTAAACTTCAGTAGCCGAAGCCAAACGAAACAAATAACGATTGGAGTATAGGCCTAGCCTAGGTCCGATATTTTAAATGCGAAAAAAATATTTAGTTTAAAATTTAAATTAATTTTAAAAAAATAAATAGTATGTGTATGGTAAAAAAGAGAACTATAGATCTAGATTCTAGATCTATGTTGTGTAGGCCTATGTTGTTTTGTGTACCATAAAATTTATAAGCAACATTAATTTTCCTTGACTTTGTTGTGTTCGACTACGACCGAATCAAGTTAAAATGCGCAACATTGTGTCATACAGGGAGTAGGCTATACTTTTATCTTAGAATAAGATTATTCTCCTCGTCTGTTTATTTTGGGTTAAACTAGGCACATCTTCGGGGACACTGAAGGAAAGGATACGAGGACGGATATAATCTGGCGATAAACAAATTAGAGTACCTGATACCAAGTTTAAAAATGAAATCGATTACTTTCTAACTTTCACTTCTCGCAGTGACTGAAAGAGCTTTCCGTTAAGTAAGAACAACTGTTGATCTAACGTTAAATTAATAATATTAGGCCCCTAATATTAAGAATAAAAACGTAATAATCTAGACTCTAGTACTAGACTAGTAGATCTAATTATTATTATTATCAAACTAATGTCTTACAGGTACGCAAGTTATATTTTTAAAATAATTTAAACTGTACTGTAAAGCTCATTCAAGTTGAGTAAGTCTGCAAATACAAAAGAAGAGTGAAGTCAAAAGTTTTTATTTAATGTTACTCTAGATCTCTAGATCTAGATTCTAGTTGTCAAGAACAATAGTTAAAAAATGCAAGTTGTTACAACTCTTTAAGATCTAGATCTATTAACTTTTACTAGATTCTAGATCTTGATCTATTACTTAGCCTAATTAGTAATTAATAATAAATAACTAAGAAAAGTTTAGCCTACTCGTTTAGTAAAAGTTAGTAGTTTAGTTAGACTTAGATTCTAGGTAGTGCCATTTTAGTATTTTAGAGATGGAGAATAGTGACATAGTCGGTCTAAGTATATATAAAGAGACTAAAGAAAGGGTAAAGTGAAAGACTAAAAATAACTCATGACTTAGTCTCATCCAAAATAAATTAGGAGTCCTACTCAGATGAACATTCATAAATGATACTAGTAGGCCAGGCAATTCCCTTTTCAGATATAAAAATCCATAGGGCCAGGGTTATTGGTATTGGCTGAGCGTGCAGTAAAAACATTACCCGAAAACTCCCATTAAATTTTGATACTACTCACACAAGATTGTGCATATCACTGACATTATAATTTATGGTAAATAATAGGACTGATTAGAGTTCATGTTTCGTGACCTCGGCATATGGAGGGATAGTGTGGTCAGCCCTATGCCCAGCAGTGGTCACATTCCCTAACATGAGTCTGATATCCAAGCTGGGTGGACTCAGGACGTCCTACACACTCATGTCAGGATTTAGATCGGGTCTTAAGACTTTAAGCTTAGCATTCAATTTTTCTAACTCCCCCCCCCCCCCCCACGACTATGCCTTTGCATAAACATTATACATATATTTCTTTAACTAGTCTTGACTTCGAAATAACAATTCAAATTTTTTTCTTTGTAGGATGAGGTGTCTACATAAAAGAATCTGTATATGATGTTGGTTTCTATCTTAATTATGTTCTAGAACTAGGATTATTCTACATATGAACACTTTAGTTTTTTTAAAATGACACACTTAGTTTTAAAACTTGCGAGTTGTTTTAAAGTTAGACCGAACTACTTGTTATTTTTAAAGACAATAAAGCTATCACCATGTGTGAGTTCCTTTGGGACCAGCTCTCAAGTTGTGATGGAGAAAAGAAATTTTTTAGGCCTAAATGTTAATATTCATGACACATTAGTTTCCAAAAACTTCAGAGCCAGGAACAGCATTTTATCCAAGTTAAATTGTACACCTCTTCAAAAAAGAAACTTTGAGACACGTTCAACAAATGAAGGTCAAAGAAACCTGAACAGAGTTGATGAGGAAACTCTCAAATCACAAATGGTAAAACAAATGATTCACCTTTTTCGTAGGTTTGTGGATTATTATTTAAAAATGCAATATAGTATTAGCCTTTCTTTATCTTCTATGGGCATTACTGGCTCGGGTCAAAGTCAAAGATCTTTTCTCATGCTAGCAAGTGTATATCTTACAACTAGACAATTGTGCCCCCCCCCCCCCCCCAATGCTGATAAATACCAAATTATGTAATTGTTAACCTGTTCACTACTTGGAGATTATCCAGTTTACCATTGTATCACCATGTTCTCTAATTAGTAGTAGGCCTACATAAAGGTGCTTTTAAAAGCGGTGGCTATAAACTGTGCTAAGTATCAGAGTCTTCTTCTTCTTCGTTCTTAATTTTTAGTGTTGGAAGGGATCAAGCCTTATCTGCCAGAGGGTTTGAACTCGAGACTTTTTTCAAATTTATCAACCATGAGCTTTTGCCGACTCGACCACGCCCCCATCACAATTAAGGATACATGTCAACTGGTTATGCGCCATTGAGGCCATTGACTCTGATTTCAGCCTGCTTTTCTTTTTGGATTTGCTTCCATAGCCTTTGTCCAACCAAGAGCAAACTACAAGGCAGCAGTTGTTTGATTTTGGAGTTGTCTCTCCTAGAAGAGTGGCTTTCCCCAGCTAATGAGCCTCTTTTCGGTTTAGCAACCATGAGATTTACCGACTTGACCACGCCAACCCCTTATCAGAGTCAAATTAGCAAAATGTTCTTTCTTGTACCTATCCTTTATTTTATTTTTTTATTATTTAATTCCTTTTTTTTCTGCTTTAATTATGCCCCCACTCATTAATTTAATTACATTTTTCTGATAATAACTTCAATTCACTTTTTCCCCCAGAGCCTTCGTCTTATGAATGAAAATGGTTAGTTTATTATTTTCACTTCAATTTTACTATATCAAAACAAATTAATAATTAATTCTTGGTGTAAGTGAGAATGTTTTAGGGAAGGCTAATTTTATTATCTTAACCCATAGGTTTTTTATCCTGGTGTCGGAATGCCTATCTGTCTACTGTTGTTGGAGCTGCTATGATAACAGAGGGAGGAACAGCCTTATCTCTTGATGCAGGAATTGGTATGTCAGTTTCTTAAAATTTTATTCAGCTGCTTTGCTTATTCAAACTATCATGTTGGTTAATTGTCATTTAGCCATACCCTTAAACTCATACTGCTAGTGTTGAGTATGGGAGAGACTGGTCAAATCATTGAATGCTCATTTATCTCAAGTTAGGTTACTGGGAATTGTCTGGACATAGTACATATCACACAATAAAGTATTGAGATGAGCTCTACTTTATGTACCATATGGACTATCAGGTCTGAAGAATTATACATAAATTGTAGAGTGAGACATCACAGATAGATTGGTCATATAGACAGTTAAGAAAAAGTTTTTCCAATCCCTATTTTAAACACCTGATATTGTTCATGATGTTAAAATTATAAAAGCATTTTTTTATCTTTTCATCAGCTTCCGAAATTTTAATGGATCTATGTGTTAACCTATCAACGCTGATCACATGTTCAAATGATTTTTTTTTTTGCAGCTGCTCTGTTTGTTGGAACCATGAACCTTTACTGGGGAACAGCTTGTCATGTGACCAACCTTGTGCGGCTCAGACAGGTTATGGGGATGTCTAACCTCATTCTCTTTTTAAACATTTTTGGTGCTGTCCTACACTGTCTTATATGGAGCTTTGCTATTATTTGTTATTTAGGGTTTTTGGATGAAGCAAGTAGTGATGCGCCGATAGTAAAAACTCTTAGGCATAAGAAAAGTAATGAGAATAGTGAGGTCCAGTAATTAAATTATTGAACAGAATTCTTAAAGAATTACTGGTAGAGGATTTTATTATAGTTAGTGGATTGACAAATCTTTTACTGTTAGCTTTGCATAATTTGTGCTATTGTCGATTGAGCACAAAACCATTTTTAAATAATTTAATACTGCTAAAAGTATAATGTATTCTAGAAGCTTTGTCTACGACAAGGGGCATAATCACGGTATTGGAACACATAGAAATGTTATCAAAGGTTAGCTGCCTTCTTCAGTACAATACTTACAGTGGGCTATTTATTTTTAGTAAACCCACACATATTTATTCCTTTTAAGTTGTTTACCTTTCCCTGTGTCTCTTCTGAAATTATTAAAAAATGAAATTAATTTTGCTAAAATAAGTAGGCCTAAATGTAATTGTTGAATGCTTTAAAATGCCATGTAAAAAAATTCAGGGTTATTTTATTCTTGTGCATTGAAATTTTTCAGTCTTCTCTATTTATTAAATAGTGTAGAAATAAAACTATCAGACTATCAGGTTTTTTTTTTGGAAAAAAAATTTTTAATAGCTTTGTGTCTTCAATATCAATGGGTTTTTTTCTGCTTGAGGGTAGGAACTTGTGATTTCAATGCATTTGTTTATTCTAAAGAATTATCTTGTATCTCATAATGAGCCAAATGGTATGCCAAAAAAATATCAGACTGATTTAGATACAAACAAGTACTACAGAGGTACTGTATATTATAAGTAATGACATTGTGTGTGGTTTTATTTGCGCATTACCTATTAGACCCCTGTTAGTGCTGGCATTTTAAATTTCTTTGTACTAACTGACTTGATGGTATGATTCTTGGAACAAACACTAGAATATTAGGCAACTCTCTGCTTGTATGTTTGTCATGATTGTTGCAGCTGCATATCTTCTGGTAACGTTAACTCGATATAAGAACAGTTTGGCTCACATGCATCAATCAACGTTATAACTTAGTAGTTTCCAAATGATAAGCCTTTGTTAAAGCTACTAAACTGGTTATGTTAAATTAAAATGAAATAATTCAACCCCCAATAATTGAGCTAGTTCCCAATAATTTTTTTAAGCTAGTTGTGTTGAATTATAATAAATTTTTATTCACCCCTAATAATTTGTCTGTTTCCTCTTGATTGAATAAAATTTCATAGCTAGTTACGTTGAATTAAAATTATCCATATGCTTCTGTTATTTTGTGTGTATAATTTATAAAAATCGAACCCGGTGCTAATTTTGTGATATAAAAACAAATTTCCAAATCCAAGCAAGTGAAGGATTTGTTTTGTTGTATTGTTTTATCATAACAATATTGTGCAATTAGCCTTGGGTTAAATTGTGAAAGGGATTAATATCCAATCTATCTTTTTGTAATAAATAATGTTAATATATTATTTAAAAGATGATACACCAAATAAAGTTTTATATTTTGCTTAAAATGTGTTCATTACTTTCAAATATCTCTATTGGCCTACTTGATATGTGATTTGTTTTTCACATCTACACCATGCTACAATAGATCTTTAAAAGAGGTGACTACACTACACAGGATGAGTTGGTTCTTAGGTTTTACAGAGCTGACTTGTCTATGCTGAAGTACAGATCACATGGGCTTTAGAACTTAACTACATTGAAGTAGTTTTTATGTGAGCATTGTGACCCAACTTGTTACTATTATTACTAGAGTACTTTACTTTTCATGAGGGATCCTGGTTAGTACAGTACTTTTCCTGTGGGCTCTGGTACCTAACTCATTGTTTACTAAAGTACTTTTCCTGTAGGTTCTGGTACTTAACTCACTGTTTACTAAAGTACTTTTCATCTAGGTTCTGGTACCTAACTCACTGTTTACTAAAGTATTTTTCATGTAGGTTCTGGTACTTAACTCATTGTTTACTAAAGTACTTTTCATGTAGGCTCTGGTACCTAACTCACTGTTTACTAAAGTACTTTTCATGTAGGTTCTGGTACCTAACTCACTGGTTACTTAAGTACTTTTCAAGTGGGCTGTAGAACCTAACTGGTTACTTAAGCACTTTAATTATGGGTTCTGGTACCTAACCCACTGATTACTAAAGTACTGTTCATGTGGGCTTTAGAACCTAACTGGTTACTTAGGCACTTTAATTATGGGTTCTGGTACCTAACCCACTGATTACTAAAGTACTGTTCATGTGGGCTTTAGAACCTAACTGGTTACTTAAGCACTTTTTTCATACTGTTCACGTGGATTCTGAGACCTATATAACTACTAAAGTACCATGCTGTTCATCCATTATATATCTGGGAGGGAGGTGCGGACCTTACCGGGTGACACCAAGACAAAAAATTGCTAGATATATAGAATAAATGTTTTTTGCCTGTTCAATGAATGGTTAATTAGAGTTAAAAATTAGTTAAAGTATATAATAACAATCGAGGGGGGGGGGGGGGGGTTGACACCATCAAGTATATATGCAAACTATAGAGAAAACATTGCTACATCCAGCTGTATTAACAACTGCCTATAGATAAGCATCGTTAGTATTAAATGTGTACACTTTAAAGCTTTTATTGGGGTGTGACACCAACTGCAAAATTTACAGAGACAAAAAAAAGGGGGGGGGGGGGGTGACACCATGAGGTGCCGCACCAGGTAACACCCGACCTAGTGACGCCACTGTATTTTAGTTTACATCCAATACAAAGGTTTGGAAGGACAAGGGCTGCGGGGCTTACATGGGGCCATATGCAGAGAGCTGTCCCTTGGAGAGGTATCGGAGGAGTCACATGATGAAGCCAAGTCTCAAAAGGCTGGTGTGGTTCTGGAGGACAGCCAGTGTTATACCTATTTGGTTTGTTATTTTGATGTACTAATGTCACTAGAACATTTGACGTTTAAATAACACGGATACGTTTTTTTTTGTTGTTTTTTTATACGTTGACAAAACAGTAGCACAGCGTGGTTTCGATCCACGGTCCTCTGGGTTATGGGCCCAGCACGCTTCCATTTCGCCTCTCTGCTCTTGACCTGTTTTCATTTATAAACATTATACACAAACTCATACAGACAACGCTTGACAACTCATCATCCCACCCCATACGGTCATTCTACTCATCACCCCACCCCATACGGTCATTCTACTCATCACCTCACCCCATACGGTCATTCTACTCATCACCCCACCACATACGGTCATTCTACTCATCACCCCACCCCATACGGTCATTCTACTCATCATCCCACACCATACGGTCATTCTACTCATCACCCCACCCCATACGGTCATTCTACTCATCACCTCACCCCATACGGTCATTCTACTCATCACCCCACCCCATACGGTCATTCTACTCATCACCCCACTCCATACGGTCATTCTACTCATCACCCCACCCCATACGGTCATTCTACTCATCACCCCACCACATACGGTCATTCTACTCATCACCCCACCACATACTGTCATTCTACTCATCACCCCATACGGTCATTCTACTCATCACCCCACCCCATACGGTCATTCTACTCATCACCCCACTCCATACGGTCATTCTACTCATCACCCCACCCCATACGGTCATTCTACTCATCACCCCACCACATACGGTCATTCTACTCATCACCCCACCCCATACGGTCATTCTACTCATCACCCCACCCCATACGGTCATTCTACTCATCACCCCACCCCATACGGTCATTCTACTCATCACCCCACCACATACTGTCATTCTACTCATCACCCCATACGGTCATTCTACTCATCACCTCACCCCATACGGTCATTCTACTCATCACCCCATACTGTCATTCTACTCATCACCCCACCCCATACGGTCATTCTACTCATCACCCCACCCCATACGGTCATTCTACTCATCACCCCATACTGTCATTCTACTCATCACCCCACCCCATACGGTCATTCTACTCATCACCTCACCCCATACGGTCATTCTACTCATCACCCCACCCCATACGGTCATTCTACTCATCACCCCACCCCATACGGTCATTCTACTCATCACCCCATACGGTCATTCTACTCATCACCCCACCCCATACGGTCATTCTACTCATCACCCCACCCCTTACGGTCATTCTACTCATCACCCCACCCCATACGGTCATTCTACTCATCACCCCACCCCATACGGTCATTCTACTCATCACCCCACCCCTTACGGTCATTCTACTCATCACCCCACCCCATACGGTCATTCTACTCATCACCCCACCCCATACGGTCATTCTACTCATCACCCCACCCCATACGGTCATTCTACTCATCACCCCATACTGTCATTCTACTCATCACCCCACCCCATACGGTCATTCTACTCATCACCCCATACTGTCATTCTACTCATCACCCCACCCCATACGGTCATTCTACTCATCACCCCATACTGTCATTCTACTCATCACCCCACCCCATACGGTCATTCTACTCATCACCCCACCCCATACGGTCATTCTACTCATCACCCCACCCCATACGGTCATTCTACTCATCACCTCACCCCATACGGTCATTCTACTCATCACCCCATACTGTCATTCTACTCATCACCCCACCACATACGGTCATTCTACTCATCACCCCACCCCATACGGTCATTCTACTCATCACCCCACCCCATACGGTCATTCTACTCATCACCCCACCCCATACGGTCATTCTACTCATCACCTCACCCCATACGGTCATTCTACTCATCACCCCACCACATACGGTAATTCTACTCATCACCCCACCACATACGGTCATTCTACTCATCACCCCACCCCATACGGTCATTCTACTCATCACCCCATACTGTCATTCTACTCATCACCCCACCCCATACGGTCATTCTACTCATCACCCCACCCCTTACGGTCATTCTACTCATCACCCCACCCCATACGGTCATTCTACTCATCACCCCATACTGTCATTCTACTCATCACCCCACCCCATACGGTCATTGTACTCATCACCCCACCCCATACGGTCATTCTACTCATCACCCCACCCCATACGGTCATTCTACTCATCACCCCATACTGTCATTCTACTCATCACCCCACCCCATACGGTCATTCTACTCATCACCCCATACTGTCATTCTACTCATCACCCCACCCCATACGGTCATTCTACTCATCACCCCATACGGTCATTCTACTCATCACCCCACCCCATACGGTCATTCTACTCATCACCCCATACTGTCATTCTACTCATCACCCCACCCCATACGGTAATTCTACTCATCACCCCACCCCATACGGTCATTCTATTCATTACCTCACCCCATACGGTCATTCTACTCATCACCTCACCCCATACGGTCATTCTACTCATCACCTCACCCCATACGGTCATTCTATTCATCACCTCACCCCATACGGTCATTCTACTCATCACCCCATACTGTCATTCTACTCATCACCCCACCCCATACGGTCATTCTACTCATCACCTCACCCCATACGGTCATTCTACTCATCACCCCATACTGTCATTCTACTCATCACCTCACCCCATACGGTCATTCTACTCATCACCCCATACTGTCATTCTACTCATCACCCCACCCCATACGGTCATTCTACTCATCACCCCACCCCATACGGTCATTCTACTCATCACCCCACCCCATACGGTCATTCTACTCATCACCCCATACGGTCATTCTACTCATCACCCCACCCCATACGGTCATTCTACTCATCACCCCACCCCTTACGGTCATTCTACTCATCACCCCACCCCATACGGTCATTCTACTCATCACCCCACCCCATACGGTCATTCTACTCATCACCTCACCCCATACGGTCATTCTACGGAATTTTCAAACTGAAGATTGATCGAGGTTGGTCTTATGAAGGCTATTGAAACTCACATCTGAGGCATCGTAACGCCGAAGGCAATACACCCCCCCCCCCCCACACACACACACACTTGTGAATTCCCTCCCCCACGCTCACCTGGAACATGTTACCAGCACGAGCCGCTCATATATTTATACAGAACCGTAGTCCGGGTGGCTCCTCTCCCAGGCAATCACCCTAGATGTCTTATCAAAGGGCGCAACCGCTTTGTTGGTGCTGGTAATCTTTGCATATGACATGTAGAGAGAGCAGAACTTATAAAGTTGAAATGGGTAGGCCTATCTATAATTCTCTACGTGGGGACCATGCGAGACACCACCAAGACGTGAGCTCAACAGACCATATCGCTACCACCCCCACCCCCACCAGTCTGGTGAGCTGTTTACAATCGTACTGACGGCTATTAGGGGCAGATAATTTAGTTTTGAAACTATTTGAAATTAAGGGGAGGTAATAACAGGGTCAGCATGCTCTTTGTATTGTCGTCTGTAAACTGTCGTCAGGCGCTTGCTTTCACGGCGGGGGGGGGGGGGGGGGGGGGAGTGTGGAAAGTTAGGGGGAGGATAA